GGTTCTGCCAGTGGTTGCGGCAACTGGACCAGTTGCTCCACGTGACCCGAGACGGGCAAATGAAAGCAACAAAGATCCAAGAATACCACATGAAAATACTAGGGATCCTAGAATATCTGAGGGGTCTCGTGATCCAAGAATTTCAAGTGAAAATGCCAGGGATCCGAGACTTGGTTCAGAAATTTCAAGTAACAATATAAAACCAACTAAACAAAGTGATACACAAGTTACTTCTTCACGAGATCCAAGAATAGTAGCCAAGGAACGAGAGAAAGATAGATTGAAAGATCAGCGAAAGAGTAAGAAAGATTCACCAACTAAAACCAAAAAAGAAAAAGATATCAAGCCTACAAAGATTGACTCACGATCATCTAGGTCAGCTCATCGGGAAAAAGAGAAAGAAAAAGAAAAAGAAAAGGAAAAGGAAAAAGACAAGGAGAAGAAGGAGAAAGAAACATCAGTTTCATTTTCATCTTCCTCAAGGTCAAGTGCAAGCCACACAAAGAAACCCCCAGAGCCTGTACCGCCTACAGAAGACGTAGAGAATACTGCCTCATTCAAGAGCAACCGTAAAAGTAAGAGAAGAACCTATAAACCACGTGAGGATAGTCCAGAGGAAGTCACTTCACCATCCAGCAGTGGGAAGCGATCCCGTGCAGATCGAGACTCAGATTCAGATGATAGTGACCATTACCAGGGTAATAAACCAAACCCTGCATTGTACAATAAGAAGGGTGAGTATAGGGGTAGGTTTGAGTTAGAGAGCACAGTTGGGGTTTCCTTGCCTGGCTGAGAGCAAAGAATGAAGATCTGCACATGCTGTTAGTGTTGCTACTCCAGAGTAGGTCAGTTTTTTGCTCTAGTCCAGCCCAATTCATGTATACTACCAAAGACTGTAAATTAATAGACATTTTATATTTATTACTATATTTACTTGTTTTCAAGACTATCTATGAAGCTCTATATAAAGATGTGACAACAAATATAAATGTCTCCATTATAAATAATATATATTTTTGTAATTATAGCTTCTTGAAATAAACCCCATCCCTTATAGCTTCGTTTTATAAACAGGGTGAGTGGTGCATTGTAAGGTGTATGTATATTTAAATATGTATATATCATGTTCCAGAACTATAGTGTTCACAAGTATGTGAAATACCAACTGTGAAGGGAATTTATTATGTATTCAGAGAATGGATATTATTATTCTGATAAATGTTTACATACTGGATTACATAATTCTGATAAATGTTTGAATGCAAGTAATTACAGTCAGCAGATTTGCAGGAAGATATGGCATAAGAAGAAAAAGAATAACAGGCATTATGCATGTGACACAGTACATGAAAAAATATGATGTGTAAAATTCATGAAGAAATTAGTATGCAACACATCTTACAACATACTGTGAGTGAAAAAGTTAACCTGTTTGTGAAAGGCTTTTTTCTAATTTGGATAAACTGTAGAGGATACTGATGTTGAATTAGGAAAGAAGGTTACAAATTGTCATCCAGAAGTATATTTAGAAGATAAAAGAGGACAGAAATGAAAGTGAATTGTTCTGATATATCTCTATCCATATAGATTATCAAGAGCAAAAGAAATGTAAATAAGATGAATTTGATTTTACTTATAAGAAAATTGAAGTAAGCCTATATCCTCTAAAATATCTGGTACTTACCATGTTTATTATTATTATTAATATTATTATTATTATTATCATTATTATTATTATCATCATCATCATCATTGTTGTTGTTTTGCTATTATGATTATCTTTATTATTATTATCATTATTATCTTTTTTGAGACAGGAATGCAATAGAAGAAGAAACAAAGTTTGGAAATTATGCTAAAGGTGCTTTGAGCATCCTGAATTCCTAAAGGTCAGACACAGGTTTCTTATATTTGTCACAAAAGACAAATTGAGTGATATGTCTGGCAACACATTTTAGGTGGTAAGATATTTTTAAGGGTGTTTCTAGATTTCTCCAAGGTTCTTTTAAGGTAGGAGTTTTATGATGTTGAAACATCATTATTTTCCACTAAATTTATTTTGATTGGATTTATATACCTTATTTATTTAATAGAAAATATTATTTTCTGTTGATGAAATATGTATACTTATACATATTAAAAAATAATACTTTTTAAATGGAAGTCAGGTTATTGAGGAAAGTATGTTTTGTTAGTATAATCATTATTATTATTATCATTATTATTATTATGATTATGATTATGATGATTATTATCATGATTATTATTAAATATTTCTTGTTATTTTTGTACAACTTAAAGTTGTCAGTTAATCAGTTTCCACTATCATCACAATCACCACTAACATTTTTATTCATGTTATCATTGGTGTTACCATTTATTTCATTTCTATCATTATTATTATTAGTAGTACCAGTTTCAGTATCACTGTAAAGATAGATAGTATTTCTTCTTTTTTCTCCATTTTAAGTGAAAATTAGTTAAGATTTCCTTCTTTTTT